CATAAATAAATTTAAAAGTACTTAACTAATTTAAATTTACCTTAAAAGATAATACTAAATTTAATTTTAAGATTATTATAAATATCTTTTATATTTAAAGCTAACTAATACTTTATATTATTAATTCTATAATAACTTTATAAGTTATTTATTTCTTTAAGGCTATAAAATAAAAGGCTTATAATATATTTAATATTATTAAGAAATATTAAATTAATATATATATTAACTTACTAGATTATATTACTTATAATATTAATAAAAACTTTATTTTGATTAAATTTAAAAAATATATTAGGTCTTTAGATATTAAAATAAATAAAGCTCTTATAAAGACTTATAATATAATTAATAAGGCTAAGAGATATTATAATATCCTCTACTATACTTATAAAATCTTTAATAATAAAGTAAATAATAATATAACCTTAGACTAAAAATTATAAGTTATTATTAAAGTTATAAATAATATTACTAGTCTTAATAACCTTATATTAACTTTATTAGTCTTTAAAATATATCTTTAATTAATTATTAATTCTTTATTAAACTTAATAGTTACTTATTATATAAAAGTAATTTATAAGGTAATAGCTAAAGTTAAGAATATATTAGTTAAGAGATAAATTTAAAATACCCTTAAAATAAGAAATAGCCTATATATTTTAAATATTTATAAGCTTTTATTATAATTAAAAGTCTAAGTATTTTAAAAAAAGAAAAGCTACTAAGGCCTTTATAGGTTTATTACTATTAATAATAAAACTTATATAATTAATATACTTTAAGAACTAACTAACTTTTAAATAATAGTTATTAAGTTATATTTTTATAAAGATAAGAATATTACTTTTATCTTTAATAATATTATAAGTATTTTTATCTTTAATAATATTATAAGTAAAAAGTAAGAAAGAAGATAATAAAGACCTAAAAAAAAGGAAAATAAAAAAGACCCCCCTTATATTACTTTAGTTATTATAAAATACTACTTAAATATAATAACTACTATAGTACCTACTATTACTAGAGATAATACCTTAGCTATTATATAATATTACTTTAACTTAATAGTTATTATAGCTTTTATTATTATTAGAGATTATAAGGGATATTAAAAAAGAGATAATAAAGAAAAAGAAAAAGAAGAAGGATTAAAAGATTATAAAAGATATTAAAAAGAAGATAATAAAAAAAAAGAAAAAAGATAGTTAAGTTTTATTTAAAAAGATTATTAACTAATTACTAGAAGAAGTAGACTAGAAAAAGAACTAATACTTTAATAATTAACTTAGTTAAATTAAAATATTTATAATTATTAAAATTTCTTAATAAATAAAGCCTAAA